GAGAGAGAGAGAGAGAGAGAGAGAGAGAGAGAGAGAGAGAGAGAGAGAGAGAGAGAGAGAGAGAGAGAGAGGGCGTGAAAGAAGAGGGGTCTAGTTCAGTGCTGGTTGGGTTTAAGTGAATGCCAGATTCGTTAGCGAGATCGTCCCACGGGTTTCGATCTTGTTTAACATTGCAGTAGTTAACATTGGTCAGCTCGTTAACAATTTTCTTCTTCCAAAAAAAAAGTATATATATATATATATATATATGTATATATATTCTTCTGGCCAATTCATGCTTTCGCAGAAGATAGCACTATATTATCCTGTTGTTCAGGGACACTCTGTTCGTTTTTGCTTTTCGGCCTGCAGGTATCAGGTGATTGAGAATTATCTTACGTCATCCATCTGGTTTCGTTAACTTCCACGGGGATTCGAGCTCCGTACTGTATTTCAACAGCTCATGGGTGTGCCAATTGAGCTAGGTCCGTTGTTTTTTGGGGGGAGTAACTTCTGCGCAGTCACGAAAACAGTTTGAAAATGCGCTTCAGGCAATCCTGCGAACATAAGCAAAGCTTTATTCTTAGTTCTTAGGTACACACTGCACTCTCATTGTTTCTGGAAAGACGTTCTTAGTTCTTAGGTGCACTCCAATTGTTTCCTCCCCTTATTAGCATTTGATGGGACAGTGTCCTCCATCTCAGAGTCTGTCTAGGCTTGAACGTAACCAAAGCTAAGTCGACCAACCGAAAAATGCATTGTGCTCAACCTAAAAGTGACGGTACAGGGCCTACAGGTCTTCCTAAAATGGAGGTGGTACAAATGGAAAGTCTGGACCCTGGCCACCAGGCGCAATAAAAAAACAGGCATTTTTTGTGTTTCCACTTTATTGCGGTTGTCCCCCTCCTATACAGTAATGCCTTGTCCCTACTACTACTACTACTACTACTACTGCTGCCGCCGCTGCTGCTGCCGCCGCCACCACCACCAGCACTACTACTACCACTACCACTACTACTACTACTACTACTACTACTATGGCTACTACTACTATTACTACTACTACTACTACTACTACTACTACTACTATGGCTACTACTACTATTACTACTACTACTACTACCTACTACTACTACTACTACCACCACCACCACCACCGCCTTCTGCCTTGTCCGGCCTTTCCAGTTCTATCACTCCTACTACTGCCACTACCACTACTCCTACCACTCCTATTACTACCATCACTACTACTACTATTACTACTACTACTACTACTACTGCTACAAGTACTACTACTGCTACTCCTACTACTACTACTACTACTACTACTACAATTACTGCTACTACCACTACTACTGCCACCACCACCACCAGCACCACCACCTTCTGCCTTGTCCCGCCTTTCCAGTTCTACCACTCCTACTACTGCCACTACTACTACTACTACCACTACTACCACTATTAATACATTTTATATTTTACTTTTATCAATTAGACTGATTGTACTATTCGTGTTGATTATTTAGACTGAAGTAGATATTGCTATCTTACTCTGATATTTATTGTAAAATACAGATACATACAGGGTCACCAGCCCGTACGTATGGAGGTCCCCTGGCAGACCTCTGTACGTACGGGCGTTCGGGGTCCCGTACGGGGTCCGAACCCGATGGCGTTCGGTCCCCGCCAAAAATGATTTAGAGGGTTCTCCTACTTTTGTCACAGCTTTCTTTTCTATAACACCTAAGATTGCTGTTCTTGCAAATATGCTACGTGTGCTTCTTTATTATTTTTTTCTGATTTTTTCTTTTTTGAGTTCTCTATGACGTGAGGTACATGCCCGTAAATTTGCAGGTCATTTGGCTAAGCCAAATAAGAATTAAAAATCGCCAAAGATGGCGGTGTCAAAACGTGCTCGTCCACGTATTTTTTTCACTTTTTACTTTTTGTTTTCACTTTAGTTCGGGGTCTAAACAATTTTATTAATTTTTGAAAATTTTTAGTGGGTTTTGTATTATGTGAAGTACACATGTGTAAATTTTCAGGGTATTAAGTGCAATGTAAAAGGAACTCACAGCATAGAGTAGTCTCAACACACGAGAGTAAGACAAAGTCAGAAGACAAAGTCTCAAACACGAGAGTAAGACAAAGAGAAGCAAAGTGCAACCGATAGAGTATTTGATAAGCTCGTCCAACAAGTCCACAACACCCAAGATCCGCCTAACTTTCCGCATACCCGTCAACCGCTACGGAGGCGGCTGTCCGAAGAGGTCTACTACTGTTGCACAACTTCTATTTATGGCTCTGCGTACCTGTGAAGTACCGCACGACAAAACAGGAACCTCAGGCATTGCCAGTATAGGGCACTGTGCAGGCCTGGTAACAAAATACAAAACCCACGGGCAGGTCCGATGCAAACACAATAGTATAGGGCCCCAAAACCTATTCGAATACATGTTCAAGGCTTCTGGGCCGTATGCCTAAAGGGCTACACCCGGTACCCCTAAACATACAGCAGAAAAACTTACTAAAAGGCTCGAGTTGCGAACACAAGTACCCCTATAACAGAACGAACTCGAAAAATAGAAAAACGACGAAACAAAAAATCAGAAGTACGGTCGATGCCAGCCCTGTCAGTACTGCGCTTTCAAAGAAGGAACAGAAGAAAAAACAAAAAACAATGATCGGTCAAAAGGAAAAACAAGGAAAAAACAACAGTACTGCGGACCGAAGATCAAAGTTAGCCCTGTCCGGGCAAACCGTGGCTACAAAGTAACTCCACAGTTTGGTTCCACACTTCGTCCCTTCTGAAAGCAAACTTCCTCAACACCCTGTCAAAAAAATCCATAGGAAAGTTTCTCAGTCTCAATTCCTGCCTCAAAGACAACACCCGTCCTGGAATCTCACACCTGATAGAGGTATTATGGTCAATCCTGCTCAGGTAGCTACTAATAGTAGCACTCTTCTGTTGTTTACTGCCCCAAGAAAGGAAAGACTGGCCTTTCTCAATCTCGAGGACGTCGCTATCCCACATGCTGACTTCATTACGGGACGTCTGTACAGATCCCAGAGAAGGATGAGTACTGCAAAACCTCACTTCACATCCCAAAAAGTCCAATTTGCCGGATCCATCATCCGTCCTTTTCAAACATAAGTTCTTGGGGTAGCATTGCTCAAAAAGCTGCAAGACCCAATCTTGTCTGCCGCCTGACAAGGATGCCATAATTAATATGACGTCATCCACCAAGCGTATTCTGAAGACCTGCCTACTGTGTTTACCCAAACTTCGCAAAAACAGGTACTCAGAGTAGGCACACAGGATACAGGCTAATGATGGGCTCGTAGTCTTCCCCATAGGGATGCCCACGTCCTGTCTAACCACTAAGTTAGTGGCATAAGTGTAGGTGTGTCTCAAGTCGATCTGCAAAAAGGCAATGATATCCTTGAACTCCAGCATCCTCCAATGATGAGCCCCTGTAGTTATTCCAAAGGTAGACCCTTTTCCTCTTGTGTTCACTCGCACTAAAATACGGTCCTTCTTCCGATGATGGTCAAATAACCAATCAACTGCTCTTAGGATATCTGCATGAGGCAATCGACTGAACATGTCCTTAATATCAAAGGACATAACTCTCAAATCTGTGATTGGTTCGAGGCGTCGGATCTTCGCATTAATTAGGTCAAGTCTCGATGTCAGCAAGGTAACCGCCGGGAGATTGAAATGCATGTCCCGTGGAATAGTCGAGAGAAGGAAATTCAACCCTCTCGCCAAAACTCTTCCCGTTCGAACCATCGGTTCAGAGAAAGTCGGGCAGATAAGACGATATCTCCTTCGGTCCTTATGTTTAGGGATTATATAAGTTGTCCCAAAGTGTCCTTTATTATCCCAATGAGCGAATTTGTGCAAACCTGAAGCTCGCACATCCTCGCGAATTTCCCGCAAGAGTTCACACTCCTTCACTAACATGATCTTATAACCAGAGTTCCTCACAAACATATCCAGCATAGCGTCGTAGAAGGTCTTAGGGCACATGACTACTGTCTCCCCAGGATTACGATCCAGGGGAGTTAGTACCAGGCCTTCAAACCGTTTCTTTAACAATTGAACATCAGTTAGGGTCAAGGTATAATCCGGATTGCTGCAGTTACTGATCACACAGTTAGATAACATCTCATCAGGGATGCGAGGAATGTTTCCCCGAAAATTTCTCCATTCACGAAATCCGGACTCAATTTTACATCGTAGCTGAGATATCTGATCAGGCATCTCAACCTTAGGAATATTATTAGCATTCACCAACAGCGGTTGATCCACAACACACTCATTCAGACGAAAATGCACGTGCCCATCCACACGGGGGTAGGGTAATCCTGCACACTGGCAGGTTAGCACTTCCCGAGCTGCGAAAGCTCGATGGTTATGCAACAATTCACCGACAGTTTGGTTTTTTTGCCAAACAATCCGGGTCTTCTTACGTGAACGATGTATGAAACAGAGCGGTAAATCACACCCCATCAGCGTATCGTTAACCAATCTGCGAAGCTCACATAGGCTAAGTCGATCATCAAACTTAATTTTAATCAACAGGTCCGCACTCAGGCTAAGATCAAATTTGTCCGTGAACACACGTGAGAGCAGGCGGCGCAGATACTTTCGCGTCGACTTCCGAGAGAAATCCTTCACAACATTGTACAAACGCAGCATAGACTTCATTCCCCATGCATATACCTTATGCAGATTACCTAGGTTCTTAAGCAGTGATATCAGGAAGGATTTGAGATAGCCACACTGGGTTTTCCACGTGACAACGAATTCCACAACGATGTGTCCACCGGATTCAAACCACGTCTTGGCATCTTTGAGTAGACATTTATTGCCGCCTTTCGACAACTTGTTCCTCCCAAAGGTCCTACATATGGCTTTCCCTGGTGTCTGCCATGTATTCCCTCCGCTGCAGAAAATTTCGAAAACACTTTCCGTTCCACACCGACTTTTTAAGATGTCATACAGGTCTAGCTGCCAATTCAGAGAAGATCCGACACAAAAGCGCAGTGGAGCAATGTTTCGTTCCAAATTAACTAGCCCCTTCTTTTCCCTGACTCTCTCATTCCTGCCCTTACCCGACTTCCTGCTTCTTACTGACTTCTTAACGCCTGACGTATTGAGAAACGGGGGCCATTGCTTAATGTACACGCTTTCCAACTTAGTCAACTCACCCTCATTAATTGTGTGAACAGGAACCAGCACATATTTATCGAGCCCAAAAATACTAAGCCATCGATAAAAGTGGTTAGACTTTCATACTTTACATGCATACGTGTGCTCTCTCCAGCGTACATCAAGATGTCGAGTGCTTTTTCCTACATATTGGGACTTACAATAGGGTGAGACAACTATGTACACACATTGTCGTAAGTTAACAAATTCGGTACCGAAACATCCATACAATCGGATCCAAGAATCCTAGCACTTACACGTCCACCGGATCACGCCAGCAAATGACAAGCGCACTACTACCAATCGACAAAGTTCCTCGATCCTAGCATCAACGTACCCCAAAAGTGCTCGCAACTTAGTCAATCCATGAACAATATCCCATAGGTCAGCAATACTATAAGCTCATCACTCTTGGCCATTCGGGACCTGATCAGCGGCGTCCTCGGTAGGGACGCCCTCCTGTTCGGTGGTCCCAGCATCCTCCTCTTCTGGGTCGTAGGTTAGCTGCGCGCGATGCGCGGCAATATCGAAGATGGACTCGAACTTACCGTTATACGCGATGCCTTCATCTTTGCAGATATTCTGCAAAACAAGTGCATCCAGACCCTTGAGGTCGTTCATTATCTTCTTCTCGAACTTCGAACGGTTGACCACTCTGAGTGTTGCTGTCTTCTTCCGTATCGACGGTGGGGTCTTCTTCAGTGTGAGAGTGTTCCCATGTTTTTTCACCTTCGAACGTGTCAGACGCTCGGTCAACTTGGCAGGTTTACCGACTTTGCGGGGAGTGCGCTTCGGCGGCTGTTTCATTGGCGGGCTGTCTTCGAACACCGGTTTCGGCCCGCGCTTCCTTTTCTCAAAGATGGTCAACTGGCGTGTACGTTCGCTCAACTCCTTCGTGTCGTTGCTGCTTGCACTGCTCTCCAGCCCAGAACGCGACGTCGTGTCCGCTTTCTGCTTGCCTCGTGCAACAACCCGACACAAATCGTTAATCGCCTCCCTAATCTCCAGGCGCACATCCTCCCGTACTTCCTCCCGTAGCTCACCCACTCGCAATGCCACCTTGATGTCCAAATGCTTGTTAACCTCCTCAAACTTCTCAGCTTCCTTCTGCATCCTCTCCTCCTTCTTCTTACGTTTCTGTTCCAATTCCCGACGTTCCGCTTCAGCACGTTCCTCGGCCTCCTTTTTCTCCATCTTCCTCCGTTCCTTAGTCGCCTTCTTTTGTTGCTCAATCTCAACGAATTGGCAGACTGCTGCCACACTTTTTCCTATCTCAGCGACCTTCGACTCAAGCGCATCACTTGAAAACGACCGCCTAACGGTACCTCGGTCACACTCTCAATCCGACGATGACGATGGTCTAGCGTACCGCTGGCGTCTCGGTTGCTGGCACTGATTAGCATTTTGCCCGGTCTCTCCACATTTGAAGCATGTCACTGTACCGCGACGTGGCTCCCACTCGTAGCTTCGATCCCTGTACTCGCGCCCATCACGCCCGGTGTCACGGTAATCTCGTTCGTCAAAACCCCGGACCCGCTGGTCTCCGTTCCCATGATTAGCACGTACAAGAGGTCAGGTTCTTGCCGAAATTTTGTGTTGATGCATAGAGTAAGTAAGTAACCCAAGTAAATCGTGTTCACTTATTCCAGCTAGGTGTCTCCAGAACAGTTCGCACGCGCAATACACAGTGCAATGGTAAGAGGAACTCACAGCATAGAGTAGTCTCAACCAGCGTTGTCGAGCGGGGAACCCCGGGGGCAAAGCCGGTGTTAGGCTGCGGACCCCGGACCCCCGCCGCAGGGTTCATCCAACCCCGCCACCGCC